AACCAAACCACACCGCCCAGTTTCACATCCCACACTAATGGACAAACTCTATACTGCTTATTTTCTTCCCCGGGCTTGGCCTGTAAGCAGCTCTGTTTTTTAAAAATCCTCTATGCAGAATGAGCCGGGAGAGCAGAGTGTCAGTCACTAGAGGGCATCAGGGAAGAAGGATGCTGAAGAGGCCCACTTGCTTCTCTGCTTAGTAGTCCAGCATACAGAGGAGAAAGAGTTGTCCAGAAATGCCCTGCTGCTGCTGTTTGCCCACAGGCGTTTTCCCCCCCATGACAGGACATTTCTGCACAGGCACAAGGTCACAGCAATTTAACAGTGGGAAGGAAACATATCAGTCCCTGGTACATATTAGAACAGCAATGAATGGATGTAAAAACGGAGTGTATCTATCAAGTTGTCTTTGCCCCTCTACTCATTTGTGTTTGTGACATTTCACAGTCGGTGCAGTGCCTGCCACCTCTGGTCCCTAACTCCCTCCCTGGGACTTGCTGCCTCAAAGAAATCAGACAGCTGGGAGGCAAAGTACGACAGTGGGCACAGAGCGGGGTTGTTAGGAGCTTGTGGGAGAGACCGCTCTGCGAAAGGAACAGCATTTTTACACACAACAACAGAGTAACTTCTCCTGTTGCTCATATTGCCCGCTTCACCATGTCCAGTGTGGCTAGCAAACGGGATTACATGTGTGTCGGGTCCTTTGGCATCTCTTTTCTCTCCTCAGCTGTGGACAACCCCTGGAGGACTTTTTTCTCCTTGGGGTGGTGGGAATGCACGCCACTGAGTGGGCACGAGACAACCACAGTCTGCTGGAGGCACAGTTCTGCAACACACTCATCTTCCCCAAGTGCCACCACAACCAACAGGATGATTAGGTGCAATTTCACCAGCATAGGTGGTAGCAACTCTAGGGACTGTTGTGTTCACTGATAGGAAACAGAGGTCTTAACTATTTCCTAGGTATGTTAATTTTCAAGTATGCAAGGCTTTGGTCTAAAAAGCAAAGAAGAGGCAAGACACTTGTAAGACAAGGGACGGCAGGGCTGCGGAGGAGTATAGCGGTGAGCCTAAATTCAGGAGGAGGGAATACACCAGTGAAATGCAGCCCACTCTGAGCAGCAGGGAACCTGCTGGGAAACCTGCCACTCAGGTAAAATGTGTGATGTTAACATTGTGGTGATTTAACTGGTACTTTTCCGGGGCATGGATGAAATCATTTCATGTGTGAGGTAACAGTATTTTTGCACCTATTTGGTCATATGTGCACCTTCTCAAATGCTACCAGGACTATGCAATGGTCTTCACTAGCTGCTAGGATGCTTATAAGTCTTGTATGAATACAGTACAAAGTTAATTATGATAAAAGTAGTGATAAAGGAAAGAACAAGATCCCAGGAGTGTGATTCCTGAACAATGAGATACTTACCCATCCCAGGTTACAGCCAGCTAAAAAAGCTGGCCTTGTGACGTTCTGACCCAAACAGCTCTTACAGGCAGCCTTGGTGTTTACTAATTAGTGATGAGTCTTGCTAAGCAAATGAGAGCATAAAGCTCATGCTTTTAACTGGAAGCCATCTGTAACATGCTCTTCTGCGTCCCTCTGCCAAGGAGAACAACCGTGACTTCATGGGTTCGTGCTCTTGTCAAAGTGCTGGCAGAGCCCGCCTGCAGAACGATGCCTGGGACGCTGGCCAAGCGCAGGCAGCCCAGCTGAACTGAAGGAGTTCCTTCAGCATCCCCTAGAGCCTGGCCAACCTCATCTTTGGGGTTACTGAACTCAGAAGGCTGCCTTGGCTTTGGTTCCCTCCATAGCATCAATTACATGCCCACATATTATCCTGTGAAAACCCCACTCTGATGGGCTCAGTACAGCCTTTGCATTATTGCAGGTATTTTGAACTGAAGGAAAAAATACCAAGGTAGTACCTGTCTGCAGGCCACTGGGCGAGAAGACTTCACAACCAGATGTGCCTTGTCCGACATGCCACGCTGTCATTCATCACGCCCTGCCAGCTCTACCAGACTCAGCCATCGCTGAGAGCCTTTGGCAGGCGGAGATGCTATACTTCATTCAAATGTCACCGCTACCGATGTGGTTGGTTTGGGGCAGCTCCCAATGAGGTGCTGCGCTGCAGCTCGCTTCCAACTTGTTCAGCTAAAAGAAAAAAAGGCGAAACTTGTGGCTTGTCCTGGCCCTGCCCTACCCACAAAGCCCTCTGGCTTCCCCAGCCCACAGGGAGAGGGTGGAGACTCCCCAGGGTGACAGAGTGCGGGGAACCCAGCTCCCGGCTCGCCCCCATTTTGCAGCAGATGTGATGACACGGGTGGGACTGCCCTGCCCTGCAATCTGAGCGAGCCGTTGGGGCTGCATTCCTACACACCACACTCTTCTCTTCCCTGGCTCCTGCTTTCCTTCCACCGCCTCTGCCACCTCCTCAGCAGCCCTGAAGCGCTGACCCAGACCTGCTGGTGGTAAGTGAGTCGGTAGCAGCAGTTCAGCCCTTTTATTGAGATAGATTTAACTCGGTGTGGTGGCTTGCTTCCTCATCCATGAATTGCTTACTCTGCCATCGCTAAGGAATTAGATTCAGCAGCTGTTTTCCTCCAACAGCCAAGGAAAACACAGCGAAACACTTGCCTACCTTTTCCCAGCTTTTCAAGTTATTTTATTGAGAAATTTGGCAAGAAATTCATGAAAATACGTTTTATAAATGGGGAACGAAAGCTTCAAGGCTTCAAGTAAAACCAGTAAAAAGGTGAAAAGTTGTTAGAATATTTTGCAGGAACTACTATACTTGGAGTTTGCCCATGCATGTTAATGCACTGCAGATAACACACGTGCAAATGCCTGCACACAGAGCGCTGCTCACTCGGTCCCCAATTAACACACAGGGCTCTTTTCACAGAAGGTAGGTTACAAATCCCTAGTAAATCAGTTGGCAATTAACTTACAGATTGCCTGAATGGCATTATCCTTATTTACTCAAATGGTTTTAATTTCCTAAGCGTGTTCCTGAGAAAGAGAACTGTATGGTCCTGGGCTGGCAGTACTAGGCTCTACTGCCCTCTTTGCATGCCCACATCCATTCTCTGGCCAGTCTACACCCTGTAAACGCATGCGACTAAAGAGGAAAAAAAAAGGTATACTTACAACTTCCGTGAATTTATATATATCCAAAGTCTAAAATGCACATTTGTAGTACATACTGTACTGTTTCAGCTTGCAAGACTAAACTTTGTACCCATTAAAAATAAGAGAAGTAATAGCTCACTTAATTGTGGTTTCTCTGGCAGGTTCAAGTATTCAGAAAAAAGAAAACAGGCTATTTTTTTAAAGGGTTTGAGCCAGCTTCCTTTAGAAAACTGCTGAAAGCTGCTTGTGTCTCTAAAACTCTTCCTCCTTAAGTAATTTCAATGCTTTTTCTCTATAGAGATAAAAATACTTTGAATAACTGCCTGGATTTTAAAAAATCAATTAAAATGCACTTCTGAATTTTGCCATTCCAACTTTTACTACCACTCCTATAGTGTTGTTTTTTTCTATTTGAACTGCAAATCCCTCTGGTGCCAAAAGCTTTGCAGGAAGACTGGCAGGAATGAATGTTACTTAGCTTTTTATATAGACAATATATCTTAAGGCCTAGAAATAGGTTTACTGAAATTGCTTGAAAGACCCCAGGTATGGTATTGCTGTGGTTCAAGTAGGTTTAAGTCAATGGAACTTTGTAGTACATTTTGTTGTTGTTTTATGTTTTTGTTTAGTGTCGCTGTGTATGTAGGGAAAATGAGACTTTGTACTTTACAAGTCTCAGAAGAATACACAGGAAAGTGACCGTACTGAGAGTTTCATTTTCTGTGCATCGAAACAGTGGGCAAAGAGATTTCATGATAGTTTTTAAGAAAGTAGTTTCATTTTGCCAGTAATAAAAGGTTACATTTCAAGATCCAGTACTTTGCCTCCTGACGAAATTTTCTGAGACTATGTCTGAAGAAAAGGTTTTTCTATTAGGCTTGAACTGAAATTGATGCTGAAATCAGTGGCAATAAAAATATTTTATAAATATTCAGGAAAACAAATGAAATTTGTAAAAATTCCCAGAGAGTTCATAAATTTTATATTTAGCTGATGCAAAAATAATGTATTATACCCAGAGTTGATATGATGAGGATATGAAACACTTTATCATATTAACAAATATTTCTGAATACAGCAGGCAGTACCTATTATCATTGAATCTCCTGCTCATTTCTGATCTAAAGTAGGTATTTGTAAGCCATTGGCAATGAATTCTAGGAAACTTCATTTCAAGAATTTTAGTTTGCATAGAAATTGATTTGATTAACATTCATCATGGCTGTTTCTTTGTCCTGCACATGATCTGACTTAAAATGTTTCATGGCTGTATGTCACATTAAATGCAGTAAATAAAGGCCTAAAGCAACATTAAAAAAAAATCCATTCCTAAGAAGCAATTGCAAACAGTTGACAATTATATTAGCTGTAAAGGAGCATGCCTCTGTATTCCTATGGTGAAGTTTATTGCTAGATCAGAAATTGAAAGGTTGGTTTGTAAAATACCAAACTGTTTATCTTACTGCAAGTACTTACCCCACAGTGGAAAAAAAGGTCTCCAAAAAGAGAAAAGCAAATCAAAAGCCTAACTCTAGCACACAGGCATTATTTCTGCTGTTAGCACTTCATCTTCTCCCAGCGCACAGTTAGCTGAGATCCAAATCGCCACTCTTGAAGGTTTCCATGAGTCACCCAGGCAGATCCATGGCTGCCCCGATCTCGTGTTGGCGACAGTCCCACTTGCAGGGAGAAGCTGGGATATGGGACTTCCTAAGGCCCCTTCCCACCAGCATGTCCAGAACTCTGTCATTTTGTCATCCCAAGGAGGTGCTGTGACAGAGTCCTTGCAATGGCTACACTCCTTTGAGAAAAGAGACGGCTAACACAGATTTCACAGAGCAGCTGATAAATAACCATTCAAGTTTTAAGCGAATGAGTATTCTGCAATTTCTTTCTGCAATAAATTCTAGTAGCTCTGAAAGTGTAAAATGCTATTTTCAGTATTAACCTAACATCTGAAATAGAATTTTTTTACTTTGATAAATGGCATATGCCCACAAATACACCTTTCCCTGCAGGGGCAGCCATCAGGAGGAACAGCACACAGGCAAATCTGTGTCTTCCACCTACAGCATCCCACCCTGTCACTGCAAGTAGCACGAGCGCACTGTAGCCATGAAGGGCCAGAGGTCCAGCTAGACCTGAATCCAGCCTCTACTCATAGCTGCCAGTAACCAATGCCTTCACAAGGGACAGTATCAAAGAACACTGTTCTTCTCTGGCAGATTCGGGCAATCAGTGGGCTTGGGCCTTTCTGAACTGGACGTTTCCTGCCGACAGCTGTATTAAATAGCCATTGAGGGACTGTCTGCTATGGAAATGTCTAATCCTTCTCACAGCTGATTTATTTATCTAGCTTCTGCAATGTTCTTTGCAAAGATGTGTACAATCTAATCATAACTCAATTGGTAAATTAAATCTAACTTCGACGTACTGTCTGTTCTTAAGAACAACTCTGTGAAAGTAGTGTGATCCTGTATTTATGAAAATAGTTTCTGATCCTGTGCTTATTGTCTGCCCGTCAAGTTCAGTCTGGAAGATTAAATCTGTTTCATTCCTAAATTAAAAGTTTGTTTTCTAAAGAACATTTCTGAAATTTCAGTGCAAGTGCTGAGTTAGGTTTTTATGCTGGTCTTTGGAAAAAAAAACCACACCCAAATGAAACAAAGATATAACTATCCTGTTGATAACGCCTGAGGTCAGACTCTACCTCACTCTCCCCCATTTGCTCATAACATTGCATCAGTAATACTGAAACACTAAGATGAGAAAAAAATCTGATCAAGTAAAATACTGATCTAGATACCTTATAGATGCAGTGATATATCAAGGTCAGAGTCACACTGTCTTCTGAAGAATTCTGCACTCACATCATGCTGCTGGTTATCCAACAGTTCAAGGGATTTTGTAATGTCTATCTGTGGTGTTGACTCTGCAGTTGAGTGTTTAGTACCTTGTCTGACATACTAGCAAACATCTGCTCAGTGTATGGTGAGACTTTAAATGAAAAGTTCCCACTGTGGTTCTGAATGCACATCTCTACTTTACCAAAGCACCCTTTCAAATGGCAATGATTGCTGTCCAGCCAGATTAGCCCAGAAATTACTATATAAATAGCCTTATAAAATTAGCTGCCCTCCTGCAGGTAGGTAAGTCTTCTCTGGCACAAGTAGGGAAGAGTGTAGGCAGTTTAACAATAAAAGGCCTCCAGACTTTAAATGTTGCATATTCAATTGATGTTCAACTTACTCAAAATCCATTTTAGCTTAAATTAAAGCTAGTCCCATTGTAATTATATTGGGAACACAGTTTCTTTTCATTGTAGGAAAATTGGGCCATGATTACTGATCACTAGAACATTAAGACCTCATATTTTTGCCAGCACAGAAGACTGCAGTTTTGTCAGAAGAGGCAACCTTGGGCTAGATTTGGGATAGCATCGTTGGGAGACGATGAAGCAGCCTTTACATGCAGATAGGCCTGTTGCTGAAAGTAGGGCTTCCAGCGCTTTCACTGTGCTGATAGCCACAAAGGACGGTTCAGCCATCTGTCAAGAAACCTTAGCAAACCAACAAGATAAGGACTTGTTTTTTTATGTGACCATATGACTGTGTTAGATTAAAAGGCTTTTTTTGCGAGGCTCATTTTATTAACTGCTCTCAAATTCATTCAGCGTGTCTGAAACAGCCTCATAATTTGCCTTCTTCCTTGCTGCAAGCGGTATAACTATGCTAAGGTACGGGACTGATCATCCCAGAGCTCCTAGCTGCTCATCTCCCCTCCCAGTTCCCATGAACTACTGCATTACTAACATTTCCCCTGGTGACAACTAAAGTAATTAGACTCTGATGAGTCAACATGATAGATAAAGAGAGGCCAGATCATGCCTCCCAACTAAATGACCCTGTGCCACTTAGGAAGCACAAAGGGGACAAAGGTCTGCATGCACAAGGGACAGCCAGGGATGCCCCCACGGTGCAGGTGGATGGCTCACAGGCAGGAGCCTGGCTGACAAGGGAGGTGAAAGAACTTTAATTATTCCACACTACCTTCTAGTTTTTACATGGAAAGCAGATCCAAGGAAGATAATTACTTGGCAGCGGTGTCAGTTTCCATGTTCCTATACCCTTGGCAAAGTTATTTTGATTAAAAAAATAAACCAACAATTTTTAGATTTTGTTACCATTGCGCAGGAGCTCTAGAGGTAGGAGGAGTATCTTTACTTTCAAACTACCCCTTTAGAACAGCATCTAATGGGCAAACTCTAAGCACATTCAAAACTAGAAAGAAGTCTGACAAAGCGGATGGGCAGAAGGCCAGGTCCTTTTGGACCTCAATAATTTTGAGCCGATCTTTTGGTGAGTCACCTGTTGTACCTGTGGTTTCCAAAAAGCGTGCAGTTTATGTACAGACCTCTCTGCCAGGGACAGCCCTCCAGAAAAAGCATAATGTCATGCTAGTGCCCGCTGTGAGAGGTACCTACTTCCTCGTACCGGGAGAACAGATGCAGCTGGTGCCCATGGCCAGGTGCTGCCGCAGGGGGACTGCTGGGGGGGGGCTCTGTGAGAAAGGACCCGGGGTTGCCCCGTGCCAGACACAGCCACCTCCAGCTGGCAGCAGCAGACCTGCTGCTGGCCAAAGCCGAGCATATCAGCAATGCTGGTAGCACCTCTCTGAAAACCTATTTAAGAAAGAGTAAAAGACACTGTGCAGCAGCTGTGAGAGAGGAGTGAGAAAACGTGGGAGAAACAGCCCTCCAGACACCAAGGCCAGTGAAGAAGGAGGGGGAGGAGGTGCTCCAGGCATGGAGCAGAGATTCACCTGAGAGGGCAACTGGGTGGGCATCTGGCAGCCAGCCAAGGTCAACCCACCACAACAGACCATCAGGGTGGAGGGAGACTCTTCTATCTCCCTAACACTGCATGTGGTGTGAAGCAATGTGGCAGACCCAGCTGCCCATCAGCTCTGTGTCATCTCAAGGTCTGAGCTCACACGACCCAAACTTCCTATCTGAAAGAGAGACACCTAGATGGACATCTACAAGGCCCACAGTAGGTCCAGTGCCAAACACTGGACCCAACAGACACATCTTTTCTCTCCATACCTAATAAAATCTTCCCCCTTCATGTTTTTTCATTTATAGAGGAAAAATGGCAGAAGGCCAGCCACACCTAAGTATTCAGATGTCAGACTCGAATACAAATGGCATCCCCAGCAGAAAGCAGTCCTCTCCAGACTTAGCTGGCAGGGGAGGAAGCATACTAACTTTCCACAACATCTGCTACCATGTGAAGGTGAAGACTGGGTTCCTATGTTGTCAAAAAACAGCCAATAAAGAAGTTTTGAGACATGTCAAGTATGTATTTAAACATCTCTTTAGAATATGTGTATATTTTATTTCTGTCTGGAGAGTTGAGTCCACTCATGTCACTGAGCCACTAAGCACAATATACAGAATTTGATCAAGATTTAGAAAAATTATATGTATGTATGGTTGCTTTGTGTTTGCTTAAACTGTGCTTAAGCTTCCTGCTAGGCCCCAGTGGTCCTCAGTCATTGGAGCTGAGCCTGTACAACAGAGAGCTCATGCTGCTGGGCGCCATTTCCCCAGCCTTCCTGGCCGCTATCAGCACAGGGGCACATGAGCCAGCTGTGGTTGTTTTACACTACCTGGCAAGTCTCCCACTGTGCCGTGGTGTTTAACTGAGATACCAACAGCCTGTCCTCAATGTTTGCGTCTCCTTCCCTAAGGTGGCCTTTGGGAAGGTTAATTCTGGGGGGTTTAACTTAAAATGTTTAAGACAGTAATATAAACTAGGGTTAGGTTAACTTTGAAGAGATGTAAAGTTTTCTCTTTTTTTGTTTTTTGGGTTTTTTTTCCCAACATTGAGCACTACTGCACTAAAGGAATCACATCGTTATGGCCTTTGTTCAATAATCTATGCATAGAGTTTGCCCATTCACAGTTCAGTAGTTAAGCTAAGTGGCAAGTACTCATACAACATGCCATTCCAAGTCACCCATGACTTTCAGCTCCCTAACTCCAATTTCTGTCATAAATATTCACCCTTTTGTGTAGCTCTGTCTGTCCTGCTCTTTGCCCATGCAATTTCCACACCTCCTAAACATGAGCTCTTAAAATCTTTCCTACTCTCCTCAAGAGTTGTATGTTATGGTAACTCAGTTGACTGACATTGGTCATTTGCAATGATGTGAGCAGAAGGCCCCTCTTGTGGCTTATTGTAAAAGACCAACGTTTAACACACATTACGCTTTTCCCTTTTGGAAAATGCAACATTTGCATTTGTTTTGTTACATACTGGGTTTTTGTGTTAAAATCACATATAACATAACATAATGTATGTATAATGTGTATGCTTCTTAATCTGCGGAACCATAAATTTCCACAATAAGAAATTGAAGGAAAGAAATATGCATCAGGAAGAGCAAAACCAAGCCTCCTAGGTTGCATGTCATTAGACCCTAAGAACAGCTGTACTGGGCGAGACCCACAGCCAAGTAACTCAGATTGCTGATACCTGGATTGCTGATAACAACCAGTACCAGAGTGCAGTTCAAGATAAATCTTGTATCATAACATACATTGTATTGTGTTACAGACAGGCATTTGTATTTGCAGCGTGATTCTTGTGTACACCAAGGCTTGCTGAGCACAGATTTTAGGGGCTAGTCAGGAAAAATAGCAGCGATGCCTTCACGTGCTCCAGCAAAAAGATAAAAAAAAGGCAGCAGTATTTCCATATACTGTATCATTTCTATAGGGTCTTTTCCCCAAATACTTTAAAAACCTTTTCTATCTGGCCTTTGAGTTTCATGTGGCTTAAAATCAGATACAGAGAAACTATCAACTGCAGTTTCTGTAAGTACAGACAAATCCCTAGTATGTTCTGTCTACAGGGGCCATTATTGTCTCTGCTGAGAGAATAACACCTTTAGAACTGAATGTGGTTAAAGCAAGTGTGTGCTTCACTTCTAGAGATCCATGGGGGAAAAGCATGCATACAGGTTTTGCTAAATCTTACTCAAGTTTCTGTGTTGTCTTCATTATATGAAGATCAATTATTCTTGAATTAGGAATAAAAATTAAGGTGGAGTTTGACTGATCATAAATATTGTTTGTGATAAGGCAGCTTCATTAATTCCAAAATTAATGGGATGCAGAAGGTAGTTCTACAGATAATTTACACTAGCCTACCCGATGAAACAGTAAGAGAGATAAAAACACCCTTTCTATTTTGTAAAACCTGTCTGTTTTTTCTTACAGTGGCATCATGAGACCAGGACTGAATGCAATTTTGGGACCCACTGGCAGTGGTAAATCTTCGTAAGTGCCCTCTTTGCCCTACACAGAAATTACACTAAGGAGAAAATGAACCTGCACATATTTAGCAGTAATGGACAATACTTTCAGGGAAAGATTTTGTTTTCATTTAGGTCTCTGCAAATCTCACTGGTTTCTGAGAAATACCTGAATTCAAAAAAGACAATCAGCTTACATGACAAAGATGTAATTCAATTTTAGTCCACACTTTTCTGATACACGATCTTTACATCTCATTCTCCGTTAAGTTCATATTATTGAATGAATGGACACAAATGCACCATGAAATTGCACAGATCTCATTTCCTTAGGGAACCAGGGCAAAAGAAACTCAGCCCTTGAAAGTTGCAGGGTGGGGGGGTTCTAAATAGCAAATGTTTAACATGGGATGCTTTTATGTAGCTGTTCATTCCACGAACTGGGTTTGTGGTTCAGGGAGCTTACCTCCTGCACACTCATCTGACAAAGTAACCAACTTTTCTCCTAGTCTGCTCGACATTTTGGCTGCAAGGAAGGATCCCCATGGGCTTTCCGGTGACATTTTGATCAATGGAGCTCCTCAGCCTGCCAACTTTAAATGTACCTCTGGATATGTAGTACAGGTAAGTAATTTTTACCACTGTACGGATTTTATTATCCCCTTCTGACTGCAGTTTTAAGAAGTTGCTGCAGTGTTGCAAGTACCTTGTCTTGATCCAGGAATCAAGGCTGGTGCAGTAGCAACTCTCCACACATCCACCCTCGCTGGGAAAGAGACTCTGCTTTGTATTTGAGTCCCTTTCCTTAATGCTCTACAGTCAATGGGAGCAGACGCTTTGGATCCCTCCTTGTTCTCCATTTGGGGGAACAGCTGTAGGCTACCAATATGCATGGAGTATTTTCCAAGTATGATGCTTTCTGGTAATATACAGCTTGTACTTCTGCTTGCTCAGGGACAATGTCACTAAGTCCCATTCTGAGAAAACCTTTGTCCTGCCAGGGTGGGCTGGGGAGAAAGACGCGTGAAGGACAAAAGAAGGAAAACCGCATCCCTCTTAATTTCTTTCCCTTCCCCACTACCCGTGCTCAGTTTATCAACACCTGAAGAGGTGCATCTATGTAAACCCCTTATAAAAGTACAGTCAGCATGTTACAGAAAGGTAGTCTCTCAAAACACACGTAACTCTGAACTTCCTACATTTGACAGATTTCCTTTTGCAAGAGACAAGCAGCTAATATCTAAAAACCTACCCTAAACAGCCAATAAAGAAGTTTTGAGACATGTCAAGTATGTATTTAAACATCTCTTTAGAATATGTGTATATTTTATTTCTGTCTGGAGAGTTGAGTCCACTCATGTCACTGAGCCACTAAGCACAATATACAGAATTTGATCAAGATTTAGAAAAATTATATGTATGTATGGTTGCTTTGTGTTTGCTTAAACTGTGCTTAAGCTTCCTGCTAGGCCCCAGTGGTCCTCAGTCATTGGAGCTGAGCCTGTACAACAGAGAGCTCATGCTGCTGGGCGCCATTTCCCCAGCCTTCCTGGCCGCTATCAGCACAGGGGCACATGAGCCAGCTGTGGTTGTTTTACACTACCTGGCAAGTCTCCCACTGTGCCGTGGTGTTTAACTGAGATACCAACAGCCTGTCCTCAATGTTTGCGTCTCCTTCCCTAAGGTGGCCTTTGGGAAGGTTAATTCTGGGGGGTTTAACTTAAAATGTTTAAGACAGTAATATAAACTAGGGTTAGGTTAACTTTGAAGAGATGTAAAGTTTTCTCTTTTTTTGTTTTTTGGGTTTTTTTTCCCAACATTGAGCACTACTGCACTAAAGGAATCACATCGTTATGGCCTTTGTTCAATAATCTATGCATAGAGTTTGCCCATTCACAGTTCAGTAGTTAAGCTAAGTGGCAAGTACTCATACAACATGCCATTCCAAGTCACCCATGACTTTCAGCTCCCTAACTCCAATTTCTGTCATAAATATTCACCCTTTTGTGTAGCTCTGTCTGTCCTGCTCTTTGCCCATGCAATTTCCACACCTCCTAAACATGAGCTCTTAAAATCTTTCCTACTCTCCTCAAGAGTTGTATGTTATGGTAACTCAGTTGACTGACATTGGTCATTTGCAATGATGTGAGCAGAAGGCCCCTCTTGTGGCTTATTGTAAAAGACCAACGTTTAACACACATTACGCTTTTCCCTTTTGGAAAATGCAACATTTGCATTTGTTTTGTTACATACTGGGTTTTTGTGTTAAAATCACATATAACATAACATAATGTATGTATAATGTGTATGCTTCTTAATCTGCGGAACCATAAATTTCCACAATAAGAAATTGAAGGAAAGAAATATGCATCAGGAAGAGCAAAACCAAGCCTCCTAGGTTGCATGTCATTAGACCCTAAGAACAGCTGTACTGGGCGAGACCCACAGCCAAGTAACTCAGATTGCTGATACCTGGATTGCTGATAACAACCAGTACCAGAGTGCAGTTCAAGATAAATCTTGTATCATAACATACATTGTATTGTGTTACAGACAGGCATTTGTATTTGCAGCGTGATTCTTGTGTACACCAAGGCTTGCTGAGCACAGATTTTAGGGGCTAGTCAGGAAAAATAGCAGCGATGCCTTCACGTGCTCCAGCAAAAAGATAAAAAAAAGGCAGCAGTATTTCCATATACTGTATCATTTCTATAGGGTCTTTTCCCCAAATACTTTAAAAACCTTTTCTATCTGGCCTTTGAGTTTCATGTGGCTTAAAATCAGATACAGAGAAACTATCAACTGCAGTTTCTGTAAGTACAGACAAATCCCTAGTATGTTCTGTCTACAGGGGCCATTATTGTCTCTGCTGAGAGAATAACACCTTTAGAACTGAATGTGGTTAAAGCAAGTGTGTGCTTCACTTCTAGAGATCCATGGGGGAAAAGCATGCATACAGGTTTTGCTAAATCTTACTCAAGTTTCTGTGTTGTCTTCATTATATGAAGATCAATTATTCTTGAATTAGGAATAAAAATTAAGGTGGAGTTTGACTGATCATAAATATTGTTTGTGATAAGGCAGCTTCATTAATTCCAAAATTAATGGGATGCAGAAGGTAGTTCTACAGATAATTTACACTAGCCTACCCGATGAAACAGTAAGAGAGATAAAAACACCCTATCTATTTTGTAAAACCTGTCTGTTTTTTCTTACAGTGGCATCATGAGACCAGGACTGAATGCAATTTTGGGACCCACTGGCAGTGGTAAATCTTCGTAAGTGCCCTCTTTGCCCTACACAGAAATTACACTAAGGAGAAAATGAACCTGCACATATTTAGCAGTAATGGACAATACTTTCAGGGAAAGATTTTGTTTTCATTTAGGTCTCTGCAAATCTCACTGGTTTCTGAGAAATACCTGAATTCAAAAAAGACAATCAGCTTACATGACAAAGATGTAATTCAATTTTAGTCCACACTTTTCTGATACACGATCTTTACATCTCATTCTCCGTTAAGTTCATATTATTGAATGAATGGACACAAATGCACCATGAAATTGCACAGATCTCATTTCCTTAGGGAACCAGGGCAAAAGAAACTCAGCCCTTGAAAGTTGCAGGGTGGGGGGGTTCTAAATAGCAAATGTTTAACATGGGATGCTTTTATGTAGCTGTTCATTCCACGAACTGGGTTTGTGGTTCAGAGAGCTTACCTCCTGCACACTCATCTGACAAAGTAACCAACTTTTCTCCTAGTCTGCTCGACATTTTGGCTGCAAGGAAGGATCCCCATGGGCTTTCCGGTGACATTTTGATCAATGGAGCTCCTCAGCCTGCCAACTTTAAATGTACCTCTGGATATGTAGTACAGGTAAGTAATTTTTACCACTGTACGGATTTTATTATCCCCTTCTGACTGCAGTTTTAAGAAGTTGCTGCAGTGTTGCAAGTACCTTGTCTTGATCCAGGAATCAAGGCTGGTGCAGTAGCAACTCTCCACACATCCACCCTCGCTGGGAAAGAGACTCTGCTTTGTATTTGAGTCCCTTTCCTTAATGCTCTACAGTCAATGGGAGCAGACGCTTTGGATCCCTCCTTGTTCTCCATTTGGGGGAACAGCTGTAGGCTACCAATATGCATGGAGTATTTTCCAAGTATGATGCTTTCTGGTAATATACAGCTTGTACTTCTGCTTGCTCAGGGACAATGTCACTAAGTCCCATTCTGAGAAAACCTTTGTCCTGCCAGGGTGGGCTGGGGAGAAAGACGCGTGAAGGACAAAAGAAGGAAAACCGCATCCCTCTTAATTTCTTTCCCTTCCCCACTACCCGTGCTCAGTTTATCAACACCTGAAGAGGTGCATCTATGTAAACCCCTTATAAAAGTACAGTCAGCATGTTACAGAAAGGTAGTCTCTCAAAACACACGTAACTCTGAACTTCCTACATTTGACAGATTTCCTTTTGCAAGAGACAAGCAGCTAATATCTAAAAAACCTACCCTCCTTCCTCCTTTGCTGAAACAAGCTCAGAAGAACTTCACCCTACCCCACATGGACCCAACCTCTCTTTTCCTTCCTTCTTTTCTCCCTGCTCTTACCTGTGGTGGGCTGAGGCTGCATTAACAAACGCACAGTGATAGTGACCTGAGCTGTAGCTGCTCCTTAGGTCCCTTTAGCCCTTCAGTATCTCATTCAACATCTCCAAAAAACTGAGTAAGGTAAGAATACATGAGGGATAGTTTTGAATAAGTTGCTATTTATGCATTTTGATATCATGCATGATGGAGGATGTTCCTATATTGCGTTGCTTTATGAGTAAAGGCAAATATAATTACGTGCATGAAGTCAACTCTCTGCTGTGACACAGGCATTAAAGATGCACCTTACCACATGTTCTGGCAGTTGCTACTGTCCCTCTGCATACAAGGACAACATAAAACACAGGTAGCTGCAGTTCTCAGAGGAAAAAATAGAAATTGCTAAGTGACCACCAAGTAGCTACGTTTTTGTGTTTTGTTTTTTTTTTAATGAAGGATGATGTGGTGATGGGAACCCTGACTGTAAGAGAAAATTTGAAGTTCTCAGCAGCACTCCGTCTGCCAAAGTCAGTGAAGGAACAGGAAAAAAATGAACGAGTGAATCAGATCATCAAGGAACTGGGTTTGAGCAAAGTGGCAGATTCCAAGGTAAGGCATGTAAATATGGTGCTTAAATAGTGAACAAATATTGTGATTTATTTAATTAACCAAATGGCTCAGCATGGCAGATTAAAAGAAAGTAAAACCAAACATTACTTCAGTAATACAATAATTATTAACATTTCTGTATGGCGATCTGTACAGACTCCATGCTGATACTGCCATATGCTATTACATTGCGGGGAAGGGGAAAGATAGCCTGTGGTTGGAGAAAAACAGAACACCTCAAGTAATAGTAACGTTAAGAAACAGCCTATGTGTGAGGTAACATCTACATCTGTACCTGAGAGTAGGGTCAAAATTTCTTACAACTCTTCCCAAATGCTGCCATGTCGGTAGGATGCTGTTCACTCAAGTATTTGTTATCAGGCCAAATGAGACAAGTTTCTTGTTTTGTGGCAGGTTGGCACCCAGTTCACCCGCGGGGTGTCTGGAGGAGAGCGGAAAAGGACCAATATTGGGATGGAGCTCATCACGGATCCTGCCATCTTGTTTTTGGATGAGCCAACTACGGGACTCGATGCCAGCACTGCTAACGCTGTCCTACTGCTAATGAAAAGGTGATGGCCTTGGAAACAGCTTCCTGTTTTCACCACTCAACTCTGCTACATTTCAGTTATATTTGACTTAAATTACAGTTAGAATGAGCAAACAGGGAAATCAGACATGTAATTGTTTACCAGCGAGCCAAGGCTGCAAAGGGGGTAGGAAAAAGGCTGTATGAATTCTCTCACTCCAAAGCAGCTGCTCACAGCAGTACACAAAGCGCCTTGCAAAGCATGTGCATGCCGGGACTGCAGTTTGTCTGTGATAGCTGTCACGGACAGCTTCATTTATTTTCATGTCTGCCTGGGCCAGAAAAGTGACAAAAACGCCTGTTGTACAGTCTGGTAAGGTGATCGATTTTAACAGGGACGGTTGTTGGAACACAGCTAACTGTTGCCCTATCACAAAATCTCAGGCCTATCTTTGGGAAAACAAGCACAACACACTCTCTATTTGCAAATTTTATATCATTTTGCATTTACTACAAGCAAAGAGGACTCAAACGCGTCTCTCTAGAGCTTTCTGTTTGCATCAAAATCTTCCCAGGACCTTCCCCTCCAACAACATTCTCAGCGAGAGGAAACTTTCTTTTCTCACACAGACACTACAAATATGACCGAAATATTTTCTTTTTCCTTTCCCCTCCCCTCTCTGGCACACCAGAGGTAAGTTAATCAAACTTAACCAAAGCTTAACTGAACTTGCAAATTCTCTTATCTAAATGCTGAATCGACTTGCAAAGCTAACATCTGTCATTCTTCACATTCAGGATGGCAAAACAAGGAAAAACAATAATCTTCTCCATCCACCAGCCTCGGTACTCCATATTCCGACTGTTTGACAACCTGACGCTGCTGGCTGCGGGGAGAGTGCTGTACCACGGGCCCGCTCAGCACGCCATCGAGTACTTCCAATCTATTGGTGAGCACAACTCACAGCGGGGCCAACTGCAGCAACATCTTTAGTTTGCACTAACTTGAATAAAATGCCAATAACGCTTGATCAGAATTGGATATAGTCTGTATTAGCAAGCCCGGGATTTTAACAGGCTAAGCATTTCTCTCAGTGTTTCACCTCTTGACCCATATGTGGGTTTGGATAATAGGGCTGACCTCTAATCAACTGTTCCTGGGCGCATCTTAATTAGACAAAGCCCAGGCTAGGGTTGAGAAGGGCACATTGCCAGCTGTCACCTTGCTTTCACTGATAGAGCTGTCCGGCAGTGCTGTTTGTCTCTTGGGTAAGCACGGACCTTTTGAAGCCTGCAATGCTTACGGTGCAGGCTGCTCAACAGGCACAATGGTGTGGCTGTGTTCATGACGGCCATGCATAGCCTTCTGCCAGTCTCACAACCACCACTTAGGGCTTGTAATGCTGTCACCGCAGGCTATGAGTGTGAGCCATACAACAACCCTGCCGACTTTTTCCTGGATGTCATTAATGGAGACTCCACTGCAGTGGCAATGAGCAAGACCAATGAAACTAACACAGGTATGAAAACCAGAGCTGAGTGAAATTGTAACAACATGTATTTTGCCAGAAGGTGTCCAGCAAAACACAGAAGAATCACTTACAGGTGTCAAACAACCGATAACCGTGTTGTACAAGCATACGGCTATTTGTATGCATGAGAATATTACGTACTGCTGATCCATGTTGCTTTAAAGGAAAAAAAAAACCCCACACCGTTCCTAAATCCTTTTTGTTATACATGGAAAATAATTAGCATAACCTGAAATAAGTACCAAATTCACATACAGCCCTACTATATAAAATATTCCTGTCTATGCAAGAATAGTTTGCCTCTCATAAATAGGTATTTAGTAATTTATCATTGCTATCCATTTCTTCATAAACTGACCTGTATACTTTAGTGTCACACTCAAATTACGAGTTGTTAAAGGTGAAAGAATATTTTCCTGTGTTGAAGTTATAATGTCTGGGAATAAAAGAAACTGTTTTGTTACCTCTCAACACAGAGAAAGAGCTTTCATCTTTGAGGCAAACCAACTGAAGTCCTGCAGAAGCAGAGACCATAAATCAGAACAATTGTTCCAGTTAGGGACATAATTTGATGCAGTTATACTTTGTATTTTTTATCTAATGGAATGGTTTATCTGTTATGAAATTACTGTTTTCCTTCCTCTGAGTAGGCTGGGAAGAGGGTGTACAGATAGGGGACCAGTGTTCTCCTGTTGCTTCCCTGAAGTTGTGGTAAGGCAGAAATTATCCCAAAACTAACAAATCAAATCTCACCTACATTCAGTAGCATGCTTTTTCATCCTGTCTGTTGCCACTCATTAATAGCACACTCTCTTTTCACATGAATGAAAAGGGAAATGAAATGATGAATATGCTATGTGCCCAAACACAAAACATTGTTGTTTTGTTGGGGAGGTTTAGATTGGACATGAGGAAAAATTTCTTTACTGAAAGAGTGGTTAAACATTGGAACAGGCTGCCCAGGGAAGTGGCTGAGTCACCATCCCTGGAGGTATTCAAAAGACGTGTAGATGAGGCGCTTAGGGACATGGTTTAGTGGGCATGGTGGTGTTGGGTTGACGGTTGGACTCGATGATCTTAGAGGTCTTTTCCAACCTTAATGATTCTATGATTCTATGATTCTTAGTCATATGATTTAGTTTTAGGTAGTCCTGCGAGGAGCAGGGAGTTGGACTTGATGATCCTTATGGGTCCCTTCCAACTCAAGATATTCTATGATACTATTCTATGATACTGTGATATCTTTACCAAAGAAGCAACCAGCATTTTACAAAAATGCTGACTGTGTTCAGGGTGTGACTAATATTATAGCTGGCAACACACGTTGTTATTTGTCATTGGAGAAGCACACACTGGACTACAGTTGAGAAAAAAAGGAGCTCCAGCTGAAATTTCTTTATGACAGACTCAAAAGTCTGACTGAAGTAGACACATGCAGGATTACCTGGATCTAAAGGTCTGGGAGGTCTAGGATAATCTCATCAGATCTGCGAAACAGATCACTTACAGAAACCTGGGGGGGGGGGGGGATCACTTTTTGATTAAAAGTCAGATTGCTGCCAGTTTGCAACTTCATTGGCAGACACGGGTTTACCTAGTCAGTCTGCTGTGAAGCTGCTGCCTGTGGGACAGGTTGCACAGACACACACAGAGGTTTGGTCTTACTTATACCAACTCTTCTGAATTGCATGCCATGAGACCGAGTGCAATGAATCACTGGAACTAAATGTGCATATTAATTCTTCTGGTTCGTTAGGAACTCTCCCACCCCAGCATAACTCTCCTGGCTGAACTCCTAAACACTCTTCCCATCCCTTACAGAAACGGTCGTATTTCCTTTTAATCTTTTCAGCAGAGAGCACCGAAGAATGCACTGAATATGATAAAACCTTGGCTGAGAAGTTAGCAGAAAAATACTCCAACTCTACCTACTACCAAGAAACAAAAGCAGTATTAGAAAATATTTCTTTGGGAAATAAAAAGAAAACAAAAGCAGTTTTCCGACAAATCACGTATGCCAACTCCTTCCTTCATCAGCTGAAATGGGTGTCCAAGCGCACATTTAAAAATCTGGTAGGAAACCCTCAAGCTTCTGTAGCTCAGGTAATGCTATTTGTATCTATCCTTTTGTGGTATACGTTGAATTTATTCCACTCCTGTATTAGATAAGTCATTGGGATGGTTTTGCCTCTTGATATTTTGACTGCAGTAAGCATCTGAAAAAAGAGTGTTCAAGGTCTGGAAATCTGATTCACTAGAAGGTGTCCTGAATGCTCCCAAATAAGCAGCATAAGGGACTGTCAGTAATTAATTTTGGACTACTCAAAGACTTTGGGAGGCGAGATCTTTTCCAGCAGGGTATTCTGTTGCTCCCGGTCAGGAGCAGATTATCTCCCAAGTAGTTTCACACATTTGCTCCAGAACATTCTTCCACTCTAATTGTCCAGGCTTGGCACTGTGGGGTTTGGCCTCAAATCTTCTCCCCTGCCAGGAAAAGTTAAAAGACTGCACTTGCATACTTAATTAAACTTCAGCACACAATGAAGTGCTGGCAGTTGGCTCAAGTGTAAAAATATTTTCACAGTCTCGTAATGTGCGTGTTGTTTGGTCAATTGACTGTTCATAATGGTGATGACGTCTTCTGAAGAAGATATGATGAAGACCACAATAGGGTCTAACACCTGCCATGGAAGATGAGCATGTTCTACATGACTGGCCCTGTTAGTGCTGCTTTTTCAGAAGAATCAACACCAAAAGTATTGATTTCTTCAAAGCTGCACATTGCCTTCAAAAATAAAGAATGCCTGGCTGACCTCTGCAGAATGACTAATCCTCAGGAATCCCCTAATTCATGAGCCAAACTCTGCAGTCCCAGCACCAGCAAAACTCCCACTGCAATTCTCAGCAATTCTAGAGGACCCAATAGAAAAATTGTTCCCGAGCCAGGGGTATAAATTATCTTCATCATGGTTTATATAATGAGTGAAGAAACAGCCAGTGTGGAGGGGAAATGAGTCCAGAATCCCCGAGGTTAAAAGGCTTTGAGCATGTGTGTGTGTCTGTATGTTGATACTATGGAGATCCTTAATAATTGCTTTGTAAAAGCTTGACCTTGTGACAAGAATTAGACTCTCAAGGATCTCGTAATACCCCAAGGTTAATGGTCCTGACTTGTTTCTCACAATCTTTTCTATCTCCCCACCCTCATTAGGGATGGATTTTACAAGCATTCTTTTAGGGGGTGCATGGTTCATTAAGCCTTTTTTCATTAATCTGCTCCAAATTGGTCTTGATATGATCCCTGCTTTCCACTGCAATTGGCTTAGGAGCTGAATTATCCCTGACATTTGCTCCTTTCGGCAGGATCTTAGCAATAGGGTACCATGGATCAAGGGGTTTATAGTGTTAAGACTCATGCATTGCTCCCACTTAAAAATGACAGAACTGCCTGATACCATCAGTTTTGCTGAGATTTTTGTCATTTGCATTTAGCATTAAAAAAGTGTGATGTACACACTTCAGTCTTTTAAATTATATCTTTGAGGCAGCTGGTATCTTTGCTATTTAAATTGTGTTACAGACTGCAAATATCACTACACCTATAGCCCGATCATAGTATCTTGCTCATGTTAAAAACAATCCCGTGAATAAGATGTGTGATAGAGCCCAGCAATTACACACTGTGGAGCATGAAAATAAACTGTCATCCCCAACCCGGCAATCAGGAAAGGCTGCTTTCGGTTACTGGTTGCCAAGCTCAAAGTAGCATTGAGATGGCTCCAGAGAAACCCCCGCAGAAGAACTGCACTGAAGAGCTGTGGTCAGCCCTAGAGCTGAAGTTACCCTTGTCACTGACAGCAGATGGGGAGTCACCGACTGTCCCAAGGAGGATGAATGGTGGAGAGTATTCGTAGGGAGAGAGGAGTGATGTTGCAATACATCACCAATTAACTTAATCACGACATCCAAGAATGGCTGAAACAGTGGGGGGGGAAAGGAGCTTGACTGAGGTTCACATGATGCTGGGGTTCCTCTGGGGAAAAACATTATTCCCTCTTTCTAACCTGCCACACCAAGCCCCTGCTACTGTCCTCCTCCCATCACTGGTGCTAGCACCCTCCCAGCACTCCCAGAGCAGTTCCCTCAGGCCATAGATCTGGCCCAGCACGAGGTCAAGGAAAAGCTGTGATACTGCTGCAGGTATGTGCCTCCTGCTGGCGCCACCACAGAAGAGTGAGAAGCAGCTGAAGCTCCCGTACTGTCCCTCCTTTCTAGCCGTCCCAGTGCCTTGCCCGCATGAGCGAGCAGTGTCTGGCCGCCGCCGAGGGCAGGTGGCAATGGGGAGCTGCTGTGTCTCACAGACACCTCTCGAAGGATACCGTGGTGCAAGACTCAAAGTACTGCTGTGCTGCAGGTTGCTAACCGCCCCATAGACTCCCTTCCCAGCTTGGATAGCTCTTCTCCTTTCCGAAAACACTTCATGTCAATCTACACTCACCCGTTACATATTTCAAAAAAATTACTGAAGCTTTGAAAGCAATGAGAATAATACTTTTCCTCTTCTTTTCTTTTTTATATTTAGCTGTGTGTTACGGCTTTCCTGGGACTGGTTGTAGGTGCCATTTTCTTTGGACTTAAAGAGGACTCCACTGGACTACAGAACAGGTTAGCCAGTTTAGGTAATGGATATCCAAAAATTTGATAAAGCTCTCTCATCGTTGCAATAGAATAACGAACAGCTTGGAGGCTGAGAAGGAACCTGCAAGCTCTTTATGAAATATATCTACCTCTTTAAAGCAAATGCTTCCCTTCACATCAGTAGGTAAGGCCAAGCCTATGTTAGTGTCTTCGAAGTGAGCAAGTTCTGAGAGGGGGATGCAGTTCTGCCCTGCCATGCTGTAACCTGGACAAGCAGTCCAAATGAAGCGAGTAACGCTACTTCTGTAGAATGACATTTTTCAGTGCCAGTCAGGTTGCTGAAAATGCTGAACAGCAGACATCATATTAAAAAGGCTTAATTCAGCATGGCAGCATTTTAACTTATTTTCTGCAAAGGTTTCCCCAAGATAACAAGATTAAAGATTAAAATACACAGACTTGGCTACATAAACCTGGGTAACTAAAGCTGTGATCTTGCAACTGCTTCTATATACACACTTGAGTTTACCAGCAATAAGTCAGAAGGTGCATCTAAAGCTAGATTTTAAAAATATTCTGGTCTATGTATCATTTTGACAGCTGTATGTACATGACTTGACAAATGGGTTTGCAACTAAGAAAGCTCTGGTTTCTTAGTCTTGAAACACTTCACAGCATTTACTTAAAGATGGCTCAGTTTTAAATTGGATATGAAAGTGTGAAAGCAAAGCCTTAAATTTTAGTGGAAAAGGTGAAAACAACTTCTCACATTGCTTATTCAGTTCCTCACAGTTTGCATCAGACAAATGCCTCACAGACTGAGAATTTTTAATGTGTCAGGAAATTCCATAAAAAAAAAAAAAGGGAAATCAGTTCATTTTCTATCCCTTGACTGCATCAGAGAACATACTATCCTCGCATGCAAGTAACAAATACTGCCTGTACCACCCGTCTACTTCAGGCTTGTTAAAGACTTGTAGCCAAGCCTCTTCCTGTGGAATTCAGCATGGGAGGTCAAATACTGCCGAGCTCCAGGCACTACGGTTGGATTTACGTATGCTGTAGTGGAAACACTACATTTACATGACATTTTTAATAACAGCTTGCTGTTTTGCTTTTTGCAGAGTGGGTGCAATGTTCTTTCTGACCACCAACCAGTGTTTCAGCAGCGTCTCAGCTATTGAACTCTTTATTGTGGAAAAAAAGACATTTACGTAAGTAAAACATACAAAAAAGTTATCAGGGACTACTGTTAGAGAGTTTGTTTTTTTTCCCTGTTGTAGCTAATTGTCATTTAAGTACACCTAGTGCAGAGTTTTCAAATTATTTCACTGTTAGTGCTCATTGCAAATGTACTCTTTTAGCCTGTTAGTGAGTTGTCTGCAAATCCCCAAAACGGTAGCTATGATTGCAAATGGCTCAGTTTAAAATTATTAACATATGTAGGAAAAAAACCCTGAATACTCAATTTAGGTATTGATAAATAAGTTTGTGACTTGCTAGTGAGGACAGTAAATATTATCTAACTGGATTCTTTAAAGCTATGCAAATTACACTGTACAGAAAAGGAAAATTATTTAAGCTTTACCCTTTCTGTTTTGATGACACGACACATATATTTACCAAAAATTATGTGCACAAGTATCCATATTCATTTGCATATGAAAATGCCACCATTACTATAGTGTGTGGACATTTGCATTACAGCCTAACCATGAAAGAACTCCTTTTTTCCAGTTTGAGCTAGAATTCATTTGTCTCCAGGTAAGAATAATCTTACTGGTTTTTAGTGGTTAAATTTGTAGTATGCTGTATTTATCTCTGTGTTCCAGACATGAATATATCAGTGGGTACTACAGAACATCTGCATATTTCATCTCAAAGCTAATGGCTGATTTAATACCCATGAGGACTATACCAAGCATCATCTTCACCTGTATAATTTACTTCATGTTAGGCAAGTATGGTCTCCTACAGTCCCATTACAACCCCCTCAATAAAGGGGGCACAAATCAACAAGGCACTCGCGTTTAATGTATGTGCATGTATACATGTATATTTATATAGGCTAAACCACTACATCGGCATGGCAGTGGTTACTGTGCTTGCTTTTAGCATACCATGCTGTTTACAGAAAAGACACACTTTCAAAGATTTAAGCATTCATGTCAGAATCTGTGACATGTCTCATCTCCACTGTCCCTAGAAGGAAGTGTGCCATAACCATTACTACATAGGTTTGGTTTATTCCTTTTCATTTATGGCTATCTTAGCTTCCAGTGACTTTTACAAGATACCTTTTCCGTCCTTGCAAGAACACCTATCAAAGAAAAAGTTTTAAGAACTTAATATTGTGTGAATTAATATCAGCTTGTTCTCTTTGGTGAAATGCCATCTGGTTAGTGAGCAGACTTTGAAAATTGCTGGCACCAACTTTTGCAACCCTAGAAGACCTTCAAATGTCATCCTCAAAATATGTCCCAAGCAGGCCATTTTCTTAGAGTAAGGTTTCAGATCACGACATCCTTTTGGGATGTCCCAAAAGCTTGAAAGTGCAAGCAAAATTTAAAAATAATCACGGTTCGCTTTGGTCTGAGTTTTTTTCCCCAAGGAATAGGAAACAAGGCCGCATCAGCAAGTGGCTCTCAGACTGCGAAACTGGAGATAGACCTTGCTACCAAATCCATAGCCACCCAAAGGCCACTAGGTCCATTAGGAGAGCTCTGATGGAAACAGGTGAAATGCTGTACAACTGCTGCTCATGGAAGTGCACTAGAAACTTCTCCTTTGATAAACAACTTGAAGCCACAGTGAAGCCTTCACCTTGGACTGTGTGGAGTACAGTACTGTAACTTCTACCCATTCTGCTATCTCCAGTGTTACTGCAGTTACCAGCATACTACTTATTCATCTTGTCCTCCGTTGACAGGGCATACACATATGGACTGTCACAAGCCCCACCGCAGTCTTGGGTCTCAGTGATGTAGCCTATGCTGTCAGACAAAATGTATTCTGTAGGCAGGATACACTACATAAGTCAGGATAGTGTTCAGGTTATGGCAGAGCTTTTGGCAGGATCATACTGAAACCCTTCTTGTTCTGATCTTTAAGGTTTGAAACCAACAGTAGAAGCCTTCTTTACAATGATGTTTACCCTTATGATGGTGTCCTACACAGCCACTTCTATGGCACTAGCCATTGCAGCAGGACAGAGTGTGGTCGCTGTAGCAAACCTGCTCATGACTATCACATTTGTTTTTATGATTGTGAGTAGCATTATTCAGTTTTCTAGACTGCATCCTGAAATCCTAGAAATGCCGAAATCTAGAAATCCTACCAGCACAGAGTTCAGCTGAATTCTGCAAAAAGACTGCGGGGTTGAGCGTGTCAAATATTCTGATTTGTCTGATTTGAATATTCTGATACTGTGGGGTCGAATATTCTGATTTGTCCTTTTAACTAACAAGAACCAGGGGGCTGGGGGGCCGGGTGTGAGCAGGAGGTAGCGTGGTTCCTCTGCCCTCTTCTCTATGGCTCTGGCAGCCAGCGTACTGCCTGGAAAGTAGAAAAGCGGCCTAGAGCTGCATTTCATTCACTCTCCTTTAGCTTTGCCAAAGACAAATTTGGCTGGCTGAGGACATGACCCACAGCCTCCTGCTCTCTGAGACCACTACCGTAGTTGCCCTCCTCAGCTGCAGAGCCAACCATCAGGCATGTTAGAACCAGACAACACACAAACAGCTACATTTAGAAGACAGGCACCATAAACAATGAGGCAGTGCTGAACCAACAGCCAAAAACCACGTTGCCTCAGACTCAGGGCACACAAGCAAAACCGAGTGCACACGTCCAGCAGCTCCACACACCCGAGTAACAGCAGACAGTTCATGTGAACCCATGTGGGACCCACAGATGGGAAGCATCCGGGTTTAATGCACGGGTGAAAGCATTCCCCATTACTCATTTCAGGAGAAGGACCACATGGGGTTATGGCCCAAAGCTGGGTAACAGAAACGATTCCTTCCCTCTCCCGTTCTTCCACTAGAAGAGTTTCTTCCTCTAGAAATGCCTTCCCACTTGTTCTTAATCTGAAGCAGCAGAGTCAAGAGCTAGAGAAGAACACGTGGTAACAGCACGTAATTTGTAATTTGTTTTGTTGTTGTTTTTGTTGGGGCTTTTTTGTAGATTTTCTCTGGGTTGCTGGTCAATCTCACAAGCATCATGTCCTGGCTCTCCTGGCTCAAATACTTTAGCATCCCTCGATACGGAATGACAGTAAGTGCTGTATTTTCCTGTGTACAGACTTGGAAAAGATTTGCTAGAAAGGAATGTCTTCACTCATGATAAAGAAAACTCCAAACTTTATGGGCTAACGAGCAAAAGGTAAGCTAATTAAATACTGCAACCTCAGAATGTAGTGCAGCATCTTGAAACAAGAAAGGCTTCTCATCAACCAGCACCCACTGCTGTTTAGAAGAGCTCATTTCTGCAACTTGGAAACACCTCATATGAGAGACACTAAACAACTACATCCAACGGAATGCAGTTGGACAAAAACGATACAGAGTAAAGAACAATGTTACCCCTAACAAACAATTCTTCACTTTTACATCAATCAAACAAAAACTTGTCAAGCTAAAACTTTTCTCCTAATTTTTGATAATTTAAGCCAGGGTGATGTTTCGCAGGGAAATTTGGGCTTTAATATGCCTGTGCAGAAATAGTCTAGCCTGGGGGAGGTGTTAAAGGCTGGTGACACGCGGGCATTACAGGGTGTGGACTGCATACATTCCTCTCTTAAAAGAAAAAGAACCGTGCTGCTTGGTTAAAAAATGGGGATTTGGCCAACATAATAAATAGTGATACCATCACGTTTTTAGAACAGATTTGAATTATATCTCATCTTGTTAATGTATTATTCCTTTACCTACTAATTTCTGTTGTCATCATTTCTTTTATTTTAAAAGGCTTTACAAATCAATGAATTGACTGGTCTGAACTTTTGCAGCAGCAGCAACATCACAAATTTAATCAGCAACAGTATCTATCGACAGATAAGCCAGCCGTAAGTATTTTGGTACATTAAAATGAATTCCACCACCAGTAACTTACAAAGTCCTAGACCATTAGTCTGCTTGAGATACTCACTGATGACCAGCAGAATCTGTGAGTTTTTATATGGAAAATGAAGTTTTGACTGGGTTTTTGCATTCTGTCTGCAAAGAACATTTTCCTTATTGTCATATTTAGTATTTGTAACACTAGAAATATCTGGCATGATGCTTCTCACTTTTCTTTAAGCTGCGTTTACTGAAACACATACACACATACTACAATTATACAGCTTCACAAAATCCATTTCAGCTTCCTCCAGGAAACTGATTGTAGCTACGAGAAAAACAAATTTACAAATAGAAAATAAAATAGTAACACATAGCTGGCGTTTGCCTGGCCTACTGTAGACAGGAAATCACACTACAACTTCCAGGGGTCTTCCTAAATGCTTCAAACCGACTAAGTTTATAAATGTGTGTGTATTTATCCGTAGGTGGTGTACCGGAGATGAGTATCTGAAAAATCAAGGCATTGATGTGAGTAGCTGGGGCCTGTGGCAGAACCACCTGGCTCTTGCCTGCATGACAGTAATATTCCTTATCATTGCATACCTGAAACTGCACTTCATGAAGAAGTTCTCTTAAAACCAGAATGAAAAATGCAATTCCCAATGTTCAGTAGTTCGATAAACTGACTGTGCAACTGACTTGATTCTTTGAGACCTTCCTTTGTACGTTTGTTTATGATTACACAAGTCAACAATGTGAATGCCATCCTTGTATATTAAATACTTAGTATTAATGTACTTTGCTGAAATGTCTAGCATGCCTCAGTTCCCTTTGCCATAAAAAGTACACAACTATTCATTTCTTCAAGAGACTATTCAGTCTTTCTGCATGTTCTAGCTATGAATTTGTTAAACAATGAAACTAGTATTTAATGGCTTAACCTGGAAAAAAAAATGGTTCCATACTTTAATTAGCACCTACATTCACTGGCAAGTAATTCAGTCCAAAGTGATGTGTATCAGGACACCAATGCAGTCCCAACTGCTAATGTGGTCACAGTCCACATGAGACAGCGACAAAACCATCCTCTCCATCCCAGTGCACGTCTCATGCCCTTTTCTATTTGGGAATCGTTACTGCTCTAGAGCGTACTTGATTGATGCCATCAAGTTTCTTCTTACCAAGCGTGAGTGGCAGAAACACTATTTTTTAAATAAAGGTGACTGTGTACTTTCTTACTCTGCCAGTTTGCATAATCCTTGTACTGAAATTTGCATTTTCTCTGCATAACTGCAAGTCATCTTCACTGTCCTGTTACTGCTGCTATCGTGAGTTCTTAGTCTTCTTTATGGCGACCAGTTTCAAGTGTACAGCTAATCAGGATGCTACCACGTTTGTAAGAGTCCGTAGGTTGCAGTAACCCTTTCCTGACTGGCCAGCTTTTCCCCTGGCCATACACAGCAACGGTAGCTCATCTCCTTCCACTTGGTACAGATGCAGCAGCACTTCCAACAAGGATCTCTGCCCTTATCACTCCCCATTATTATTTCATGTAATAAAATTTGCTCTTTTTTAAAGACCCATTGCTTAATTTTGGCTGTGGTCTACGGACTCCTCACCAGTCATCCCTCCTCTTGAGTTTATTTAGGAGGTGCACGTGCAGTACAGTAACATTATGGGGGAACACTTGCCTAGCTGTACTGCTTCAGCGATGTACCTGCCATCTTCCAGGGAAAATCCACACGCACGGCTTATCCTCTACGTTGTAGCTGACCCGGCTTTCTCCTTGTATGCAGCCTGTGCGTTGCAGTAAAACGACACCAGCGGCTCCGAGCCGAGGTTTCGCCATGTGAGACGAGGGAGAGCGGGATGAGGCGGGATGAGGCGGGATGAGGCGGGATGAGGCGGGATGAGGCGGGATGAGGCGGGATGAGGCGGGATGAGGCGGGATGAGGCGGGATGAGGCGGGGTGTGCCGCCCTACCGTGCGCCCTCCTCCGCCCCCACCTTCCCCTCGCTCTCGGTCACAAGGCGGCACCCAAGGGCCGAGGCGCGTTAGCGCCCCGCCA